CGGTGAGTGTATATCAATGTTTACTGTTCAGTTGATTTAAGATAATTTTTGACACTTTAGTACTGTCCAGAAGTTTTTAGTAGCAATGAAACGCCAAAAAGTTTGCAAAATGGAAACAAAAAACCATAAGGCAGGGCATTGTCAAATACAGTGTGAGAGCCCATTTGTCTTTAGGAGAAACGAATCATTAGGAAACATCAAGAGGACATGGGAAAAATTAAAATAAAAGAAAAATCTGCTAAAAAAAAGAAAGAAATGAATCTGTTTTCTGAAGTTTTTCTAAATAGCAGACCTACTTGCATATGATGCTCCCTCTAGATTTGCTGTGGCATGGCTTGATCTGCAGCGAGCAGGCCACTGCCTTCCACATGTCCGGGAGACACTTCCTGATGTCCAGGACAGGGATGTTCATAAACGGCATTTTAATCGTCCCATTAGACCAAAGCTTGATGTCGTTCATGGCACCTTGGTCTGACTGCATATTACAGCTGCGGAACAGCTCCGTGGGCCTATAAATACACACAAAAAATAGTCCCTTAAGAGTGAGAAGAAAGGTAGGTTCAAATTTATTCCATAAGTAATAAAACAACAGAAGACACAACAACTTATACCTGAAACTTTACATCAAAAATGTAAGACTATTTAGTCATCCACTGACAGCAAGTTCTCCTACTTGGAAAGTTGAGAGGTCTTTAATTTTCATCATATGTCCACTTCATCTATGATAGATAAATTAAAGTGCAAGCATTTGGTCACCCAAAAACAAGATTTCTGGTACTCACAGAGCCTTTATGTTCTTTAAGAGGCTATTCTCTCCTCCAATAATTAATATAGTTAATATTAATGGCACCTGGTCCTTAGTATAAAAGACAAATACCAGCAATGGTATCTGCAAACCTGGTGAAGACTGACAGCCAATGTTTGACCTCTGCTATTGCCAACTAGGGGTCAGCATTATGATGGATGTTGTGATAAGAAACGCGTCACGATTCTTGGGTCACAATACGATATGACTATATTATTAAGGTAAAATGAAATGTATAGATAAAAAAGCAAGTGCTGTATATGTTCATCAGAAGATATTGATCATTTAGTTATTTTTCTAACCATGTTGTTTGAGGTTTGACTCGGTCCACATCTACCACTGTGAATGCCTCAACTAGAGATATGGCGCTACGTGGCACAGCGAACGCACTCCACAGCTCTATCTGCCAGAGTGTTTTGTTTTTTTTAAATCGATATCAGGAACTGAAAGATCGATTTTATATTGGGCAGCCTAAAATCACGATTTTTTTTCCACACAACCCTATCGGCAACAAAGGTTATGCTGCAAAGTATTCATTTAATCTTTTGTTATTTACCAGATACTAATTTTCCACCAAATTCTCTGGTAAATACCTTAAAAAAATCCTCTAGTGTTATTTTCTGGATTCTTTTGTCTTTTAGTCTGTCATAGAAGATTGATTAAATTTGCCTCTCTTATCTTGGAACCATTTGGCCTGTTTTTCAGTGCAGTCCTGTTTCTCTGACTAACTAGATGTGCTCTCTTCATCCTCTGACATGGTAGCTGACTCAGAGCTCATCTACCTGGCTGTGTGTTTGCGCCTTATACAGTTTCCTTTTGTATCTCTGCTTCTTTTTCTATCTCTGCTTCTGTCTCCTTGAACCCCAGTCGGCCTCAGCAGATGGCCGCTCACACGGAGCCTGGTTCTGCTGGAGGTTTCTTCCTGTTCAAAGGGAGTTTTTCCTCTCCACTGTCGCTACAAGCATGTTTAGTGTGAGGGATTGCTGAAGAGTCAATGAGTCGATGCAATCAATTGGTTTTCCTTAGATTAAAAACTTTGAATCAATCTGACTGGATGATCTGGTTGAACTGTAAAGTGCCTTCAGATGACGTGTTGTGAATTGGCTCTATAGAAATAAACTGCACTGAATTGAATTTTTTTTTGTTTTTCTTTCATTAACCCACCAGAGGGTTTTAGGAGCAATTTCCCCTTGAAATAACATATCTGATTAAATCAATACCAACTCCAAATGTATAAAGTGGAAATTTAAGTCACTATTGCAAATGTTACATTTTCTCTTTTATAGGTGATCAAACAGTGATTAAACCAGCTGAACACTTCAAATCACAATGGAAACCCCTTTGACACTCTGGATCAGCCCTCAGACTGTATAGATCCACAACTGCAGCAAATTTGGACTGAACTGGTTGAAGCATATTGTTCCAAAAAAGGTTTTAGTGGACAGGGTGGCTGATTTTGGCACATATGTGTCAAAAGTGGTCAAAATGTTCCAATTGTTTTCCTAATAAATAGGAATATGGTCAAAAGAAAGTGCTGCAGTCCATAGTATGGCTACTTCTGCACATAACGTGATCTTTTCAAACCCATTTAAGATTCCCGTTTTACATTAAAATGGCAAAGAAAATGTAAATATATTTCTTCAAATAAGCGCATTTGAATAGATGAGCTAGGTGAGACATTTTTCCTATGAAACAAGAGAATTTACATTTAAAATAAGAAAAGCCAATTGTATTTTCTCATTTCAAGTGCATTCCATTGAAAAATCATCTTATTACCTCTTCAAATTAAGGGTAAATACACCAAATTTAAGATTTTTTTAAATTTATTTCCAGATTGTTTTTGCAGTGCATAATATCAATAAATTAAATTTAAGATTAGATGTATTGTCATTATTTCATACTGTATTTATGTGCCTTTGTTTTGGAGATGCTTGTTTTATAAAGTTATGCCAGAGCTTATTGATACAGCGGGTCGCTCTGGATCCATCCATCCATTATCTGACACGCTTATCCCAATTGGGGTCCTGAGGGGTGCTGGTGCCTATCTGCAGCTGTCTATGGGTGAGAGGCGGAGTCCACCCTGGACAGGTCACCAGTCCATCGCAGGGCAACACAGAGACAAACAGGACAAACAACCATTCACACTCACACCTAAGGGGACTTTAGAGAAGCCAGAAAACCTAACAGTCATGTTTTTGGACTGTGGGAGGAAGACGGAGTACCCAGAGAGAACCCACGCATGCTCAGAGAGAACATGCAAAGAGTTTGCATGGAGTTAGCAGCGTCACACCAGATATTTCAGTCAAAACATTATGAATTGTGCAATAATGTGCTGTCAAAATAACCTCTACAGCCAACTCTTGGGTGTTTAAAGTCATATGAGCTTTAGAAGGAAGTCTGACCTGTTGTTGAAGTTGGTGCAGTAAGTGAGGTCTTTGCAGCCAAGCTGGCAAGGCTCTCGGACGTCAGCCAGACAGTTGATGAGCTCTATCTCCATTGGGTTGTACTCACACAACTGATCAAAATCCTGCCAAGTCTGACTGCCCCAGTGGGTGCTGATCTCCCGACACTTCTCCCTGATGCAGCAAAGTACAATGAGAGCCATCGTCCATAATCAAGCGTCCACTATATTCTAGGATGAGCTGAACGTGGTACTTCACCTGCAGACTGATGTGTTTGCCTTAGAACAGCAGTGCAGCTTGGCACGGTCCATCTTGGCCGGATGCGGTGTCTCGTCCACAGGCGGAGACGGAGGGTGGGCTCTGATCAGAAAACATTGCCACATTGGGTCCTGAGGGAGGGGCTGGGTTCCACATTCCTTTATCAGACCCTCCATGATCTCCTGGTCTGTATTCATTGTGCGAAGGAGATGCTTACAGGCCGCCTGACAATTAGGGGCTTCAGCCCGGTCACAGCAGTACAAACCTGGAGGAGAGAATCACATAGCCTGAGCAGGGAGCGAAATGCTGATTATTGGTGTGTCCACACCTGTTAGAAAATCACGCTTATTATTAGTGGGAAAGAGGCTATTTGCTCCGTCTAATTCATTCTGGCTGGCCAGGCTAGGCTGGATGAGCTTTCTCGCTCTCTTTGTTTTTTCTCTTAAACATGAATAACCTTCAATTTAAAGAGTCATTATGCAGTTTTTTAATTATACTGCCACCAGTGTCCAAAATTCAGAACTGCAGAACTCTTCTGCTTGTTCTCATACCTCACGTTACCTGGAGTTGCCATTGGCGTCTGAGTTGAACTGGATGCCCGTTGCTTCTGCACATCCACATAATCCATGTTGAATATAAAGCTTTGAATATTTGCCAGGTTGGACCCATTTAAGGCTTGATGTCACAGCCGCAGGATAGCACAGAAACTGCAGGCATATACATGCATCGCTGATGAACGACTGAGGTGTCAGTCTGCTCATTTAACCATGTTTTAGTCATTAAGTGTAGAATAAAAAGGCTATTTTAAAGATATTTTTAGGAAAAAACTTTAAAAAATGTCTGTTTAAAGAAGATACAGAAGAATATGTAAAATTCCAGGTTATGACTTTACATAACCTTCTTATAGTGATACATAAAAAGCAATATTAATAGAGCTCAGAGATCAAACTAATCCCTTCAGAATAATATACAGTATAATAAAATGAGAGATCCATTGCTATGAATAAGCAAACCAAAGTACCTCCTGTCATCATGCTACCCTAAAGCTTTCCCACATGTTTTAAGCTGTTGAACGAATGTGTACGTACTGTCTATTGGGCTCCGAGCGGGGTAGGACTCTGTGAAATTGTTGACACATTCAACCAGCTTAGGGCTGTGGCTGCTGCAGAACTCTTTGACGGTCTTGATTTGGGACTCTGTTGGGGTCGAGTCTGTTCTGAATATGGCATCACAGAAGTCCCTGCAGTTGGTGTGACGGCCCACAAAGCTGCAGCATGATGAGCCCACTAGAGGAACAAACACAAAGCGTTGCTGTAAGCATTCTGTAAGGTATTTACCATTTCAGTGTTTATTCAGAGACCATACACAACTGTGTGGTGAAATTAGAAGACAGGTTTAGATGTGAGACAAAATGGAATTATTATGTATGATTGTCTGTGTGAGACTCAAAACTTACTTTCATTTTTGATGATGCAGCTGTAGAGAGAGTTCTAGAAAGAGAAAAAAGGAAGGCATCATGGATAATTGCCACCAATGTCCATACAGCAGCAGCCATTCAAAATTTCCCCACTTTCCTTGATGGGCCCTTGGCTGGTCCCCACAATTTCTTTTTTACACTTTAATATTTGTACTAAAATGTTCTTTCTGTCATGATTCAAAAAGGTGAAAGGGTACAGTCAGAGAAAAAAAATATGCACGCCCAGTAGAAGGAGGGGTCACTCCGGTGGCTGGTAGTGGGCTGCCATTCGATTGGCTTTTGACTGGGAAAGGCCATTTAGGCTGCGTTCACACTGCAGGCCTTGATGCCCAATTCTGATTTTTTTGTGAAATACGATTTTTTCGCGTTGTCGTTCATATTCCCAAATATATGCGACTTGTATGTGATCTTCTGTGTGAACTGCAGTCATACAACGCAAGTATCCCGCATGCGCGGTAGAGGACGCAATGACGTCACAGGCCAGCGTGCTCTTTTTTTCCGGAAGTAAACATGGATGCTAGTGCCGGAGCGTATCTAGCAGTCTTTTCCAACCATAAAAACTCAATCTTTTCAGTATGGTTAAACATAAATACTAATCTCTGCATCATCATCTGCCATGATTGTTGTTTTTCTTGCCGCTTCTGTGTAACAAGACCCAGAATAGCGACCTGTGTCGGGTATTAATGACGTTCAGGTCGGATGAATCCAACCTGGCCGTTCAGACACAGGTCGCATTTGAAAAGATCAGATTCATATCGGATTCAGGATCACAGAGCCAAGTGGCCTTGGTCGGATTGGAAAAAACTGATCTGTGTTGTTCAGACTGCCATGAAAAGATCAGATCCAGGTCACATGTGGGCCAAAAAGAATCGGATTTGTGTCACTTCAGGCTGCAGTGTGAACGTAGCCTTTGAATGGCTGCTACTGTATAACATTCATCTGTGTATGTATTGAGAAACTGTCAGGAATCAAAACAACTTCCAACTGGACTGGTGGTAACCAGAGGTGTCAAGTAACAAAGTACAAATACTTTATTACTGTACTTAAGTACACTTATTAGGTATCTATACTTTACTCCATTACTTATTTCTCTTCCTACTTCTACTCATTACATTTTCATACAATATCTGTACTTTTTATTCCTTACATTTTAAAAACAAAAGCTACTCGTTACTCTTGGCTTCAGTTTAATGTTTATAAATATTTATTTCACATCAATGCAGATCATTGGCGCCATCCACATCTAGTGAAAACTAGTGTAATTGGACAGTCATTGGTTAGCTACTCATCAAATTTGTGCTGACACCAAAAGAAATCATCAGAAGCAAGCAGGTGTTCTTCAAACTGCTAACGTGAATTGTCTATGCCATGCTACGATGTTGGATTCAGAAAAACATGTTGAAATGTCTGAAAGGTCGGACACAGGCAGGAGCGTATCGGGAGATGGAGACCAACAAGACCTCCCTCATCCTTGGCCCTATCTCAAAGAATTTTTCGAAATAGTCAAAAAATTGAGATTTCAATTCATATAGTGGCATCTGGCTGTTTTTTTTTAAAGGTTACTTTATACTTTTATACTTCAAGTAGTTTTGGGAGCACATACTTTTTCACTTTTACATGAGTAAAGAGGTTAATTGATACTTTACCTTTTACCAGGGTGTTTTAAACAATACTTCTACTTAAGTGAAAAATGTGTGTACTTTTGACATCACTGGTGCTAACTGGTGTCCAGCAAACTGGAAACTGTTGGGCTGCTCAGTGTAGTTATGTTATTAAAATGTTTGAAAAGGACAAAATGCTGAAAAAAAAAATAAATTCCGTCCTGAAACAAAGAAAACCACTTTTCTGTTCACAGCCAAATGGATTAAAGAGGGAAGTTCGTGATAAAAAAAGCTGAAGAAGAAGAAGACTACAGTAGTAGCCATTCAAAATTTCCCCACTTTCCTTAATGAGCCCTTGGCTGGTCGTCTACAATTCCTTTTTGAGCATCAATCTTTGTACTAAAATATTCTGTCATGATTTGTGGACATTGAGATCTAAAGAGAAGCGTCATCTCCTGGTCAGACCCTGTAATTCAGGGAAAGGGTGGAGTCAGAGTAAAAAAATGCATGCCCAGAAGAAGGCCAGTGGCTGGCAGTCGCAGTGGAGTGGGCTGCCATGAATGGCTG